TTATTATTATTATTATTATTATTATTATTATTATTATTATTATTATTTCTTTTATTCATTAAGCATAAAACTCAGTCAACTGAGCATTCAAAAATGCATCACAAATACCATTGACTGGTGCTGATGGTTGATACGGGTTGCTGCCAGAATCCTAGGTATCAACCAAATACCTGCTTAAGATGTACGATGTTCTGAGTAGCTTTTGCAGTTCTGCTGGTGTTATTGCAGGAAACTGCAATTTCTTGATGTATTTAGTAAAATTCTTGGACATGGTACCAAGTGCCCTGATGACAATGGGTATCAATGTTACATGTTTCATCCATAATTGCATAGTTTTGATGACCAGGTCACGATATTTCGTGATTTTTTTTCCAGTTCTTTTTCTTCAACTTGCTGTTGTTGCTGTTGTTGTTAAATGCTTTAAGCCCTTATGAAAAGAAACTTTGCTAAGGCCTACCCAGACTCCATTTAATATGATGAATTTCCATTTGAGCCACTTTGGTCTAGTAGTTAAAGCAACAAACTAGAAAGTTGGAAACCATGAATGTGTTCAAATCCTACCTTAGCCATAAAAGTTGGCTAGGTAACTTTGGGCCAGTTATTCTCTTTCAGTTACCCATTCATCTTGCAGGTGTCTGTTTGGGGAAAAAAGGAGGAAGAAGGTGTGTTGGATACATTCACCTCCTTGAGTTATTTGTAAAAATAATAAAGGTGGGGTATACATAAAATAAATTTTAGGTTCAGTAAAAAAACCACTGCTTTCTGTGTAAAAGGTTCCTTTCCTGCAGGTTCAGATAGTTCTGGAATCCTGGAAAGCTGCTGTGACTCAGTATCTCCAATATTGGTTTAGATAGACCACTCTTGTGGCTGCCTAATAATTTACTCCTCTTTCATTTCAAAGGATTGTAAGCTACACTTCAGATATGCATCCATCCGATACAGATGAAGCCATCAGAAAAGCATTTGAAGTCTGGAGCAATGTTTCACCTCTAACTTTCACAAGACTCTATGATGGTGAAGCGGATATTATGATGTCTTTCCATACCAGAGGTAACCATATAGGTTTAGCCCTGAGCTGAGCCTGGCTTCAGGGACCATTGCTGAAGCAAAAATTAACTGCCTAATTGAACTCCTTACTTCTTCTGCATTTAGACCATGGTGATAATTCTCCATTTGATGGTCCTGATGGAATCCTGGCTCATGCTTTTCAACCAGGGAAACATATTGGTGGAGATGCTCATTTTGATGAAGAAGAATTTTGGACAAAAGATGGCCCAAGAGGTATGTCTAAATCATTCTTGAACTGTAAACATACAGATTATGCAAGGATATAAGCCCCTGAAATTTATCTACAGATGTAGTCAGATGAGATAGTAGACCTGGAAATATCGGACAGCTTCCACAATAGAGGTTACTATCTCCGAGAACCTGGATGAACTTGACTAGGAATTTCCTTTATTTACTTAAACTGTAAAGCAGTCATTATCGCAAGTAGTTTGCAATCACTGAGCAGGTTGAATGGTACAGAAAATAGACCCAATTCTATTTCAAATCCTGCCTTTCCTTTCCCAACTCCCCAAGTCTTCAGATCAGCGGTGGGATTCAATTTTTTTTTACTACCGGTTCTATGGGCATGGCTTGGTGGGCCACATGGCATGGCTTGGTGGGCATAGCTTGGTGGGCACGGCAGGGGAAGGATACTGTAAAATCCCCATTCCCACCCCACTCCAGGGGAAGGTTACTGCAAAATCCCATTCCCTCCCCACCCCACTAACCTGCTTTCCAGCTTTGTTCTCCTGTGCAGGGCAACAAAAGAAGACCCAGCCAATCAGTTGGTACTCGGGAGGCAGAGAATAGATGGGGGCGGGGCCAATTAGAGGTGGTATTTACCGGTTCTATGAACTACTCAAAATTTCCGCTAGCAGTTCTCCAGAACTGGTCAGAACCTGCTGAACCTGCTGACTACCTCTGCTTCAGATTTATCTCCCAATCCACACTGCCTTCTCTATTGCAGCAACTTTGTTCTTTCCAATGGAAAGGAAGTTTATAAACAAAAAGATTTTTTTAGAGACAAATGAAACATGCTTTAATTACCTATAAATTAGGTAAATTATAGGTACCTATTTATAGGTAAATTAATTACCTATAAATAGAAGGAGAAGGGCTTGGGAGAGAGCCAAGCCCTTTTCCTTCTCTGTCAACTATGATTACTAAACCTAGATGGGACTATTTCTTCTTCTTTACGTGCTAAATGCTGAATTTTGATTTTTTTTTAATCTGAAGGAGGAGTAGATCAGTTATGAATTTCTCATTGCTTTCTACAAAAAGGATTTTCTTTCTCATTTTTCCCTCTAGGCCGTAATCTGTTTCTTGTTGCTGCTCATGAGATTGGCCATTCATTGGGTCTGTCTCATTCCACGGATGTGGGAGCCTTGATGTTTCCTAACTACTCCTACACGGCACCAAAATCATTTCGTCTTCCACAGGATGATATCAATGGCATTCAAGCTATCTATGGTATGGCCAAGAGAAATCAAATCCTAAACTGAATGGGATGCTCTTAGACTAGAAAGCATGCCTAAGTCCACATTAGTGGTGCAGTGATTAGAATACAGTCTTGCAGACTTGTTGCCAGGAGTTCGATCCTGACCGGCTCAAGGTTGACTCAGCCTTCCATCCTTTTGAGATCCGTAAAATGAAGACCCAGATTGTTGAGGGCAATATGCTGACTCTGTAAACTGCTTAGAGAGGGCTGTAAAGCACTGTGGAGCGGTATATGCATCTAGTGTTATTGCTATTTTGCAACTTGATTACCAAAAGTAAACAAACATTTGCCAAGCAGTACAAGCACTGCTACTTGCAAGCTTCTATTCATTTGAGTAAGATTTCCAAAAGAAAAAATTCTGATACCTTGTAACTAACATATTCTTCCAGTTATACTCCTTAAAATAGGGTAATAATTAATTTCATTCTAGCTAAAATTCCCCACTACTAGCAAAGTCACATTGGAATTTGTACTACTCCAAACACTAACATTAAAAAGCAAATAATTGATAACTACAATTGTTTTAGCATCTATTTAATAGCTTCCATATCATTTTTTAAATCATTATGTAGGAAAAACAGAGAACCCAATACAACCAACAGGACCCTCTACACCAGAAGCATGTTCTGCTAAGACTACTTTTGATGCTGTTGCCACCATACGTGGAGAATATTTGTTCTTTAAGGACAGGTAAGTTGCATTTTTAAAATACTTTAAAATAGGTTGAGTAATATTTTCCCAATAAACAGGAGATGACCCTTATATTATTATGATATGGAACTCCAGCTAAATTTTCCCTCTTCGAAAAGATGCCACATTTGCTAACAGCATGCCACTTCTGTTTTACAATTAGACACTTCTGGCGTAAACACCCACAGATATACAATGTGGAACTGTATTTCATTTCTTTTTTCTGGCCAACTCTGCCTTCCAATATTGATGCTGCTTATGAGAACTCTGGGCAAGATAACGTTATAATTTTTAAAGGTGAGTAATGAAAACGCTTTGATTATAAATTTAATGAGACTTGTTCTTACCATAGCCGAAAAAGAATTGTTGGGAAAGAAGAGGGAGCCTTTGTTCGATACACCAATGTCTCCCGCTAACGTGTGCACCTCTAACAAGCCAATCAGCTGAGAGGATGAAGAAACGAAAAGCTAGGAGCGACCCTCCAACCCTCCCATGCACTTTTTGGTCTTTTATCCTCTCAGTTGATCCTTGGAGGCTTGTTTTCTTCCTCTTGGCTGATCCCAGGCTTTTTTCCTCCTCTCAGCTGATTGGAGGCTTTCTTTTTACTACCGGTTTGGATGAACCAGTTTGAACCGGTAGCATGCCACCACTGAAATAGACACACAGACCCCTGAGTTATGAATGCCCATGTGTAGAATTTTAAGCATCTAAAAAAAGCTCAATTTTTCTTTTAAAACCAGTATCCAGTTTCTCCAGAACCCATGTGTAACAGTGGGAAATACGACAAGGCTCAGAAGTGATCATTCTTTCAATATTGAAGTAATATTTTTCTTAACCAAAGTTGGGGAAAGACTAGGGCAGGGGTGTCAAACTCACAGCCCACAGCCCAGATGCATCATGCACTGGCCACGCCCACCCCAGTTTTAGCAAATGGGGGCAGTTGTAATACATCACATGACAACAACATGACGCCGCGAGTTTGACACCCCTGGCCTAGATTATCAAGAAATATACTTACATTTAATATTATTTCTTCTCTTTTTTAGGAAACAAATATTGGGTTCTAAGCGGATATGATATAGTTGACCAGGCTCAAAGTATTTACAGATTTGGATTACCAAGAAATGTGAAGAAAATTGATGCTGCATTCAGCAATCCAGAAACTGGAAAGACCTATTTTTTCATTGGGAACAAGTATTGGAGGTATGGATCGGTGTTGTGCAATCTTAATATGATTTGCTTACAATGTTGTTAGTCTTAAGGCATTAATCTTTAATAAGCAATGTATAACTGAAATGTATATATAATAGTGTATTGGTAAGATGGTAATCAAAAGAGGTCAAAATCTGCAAGTTGGTGGGTATGCATTGTGCTCCAAGCCCAAGGCCTGTTGTACATGAATAGAGCATGAAAGTATAACATAGATTTCCTTTGGATCAGCAGCAGATGTTGCCAATCAATCAGCTGTTATCCTGGAGGAACACACCCCAGGAGAACATGCTAGAAATTCTTATGTTTCAGTTTTGCTTACATTGATTGGTCAGATAAAGCAAAGTATATAACGCATAAGGTTCTTTTAATGCCTAATACAAATGTGTGGATAATCTGCTTGAATATTTGATTCAAAGGAAAGGCAGTTGAATTTGGCCAGGTTTTATTTCAAAGAAAAAAATCTGGAAATCCAACTTGAATCAGATCATAACAGATGGAGACAGATATTCCCTGATTTGCCCATTCTTCATACCTAATATTGGAACAAAACAAAGCCTTCTCAAATTTCTTCTTCCATTTGAGGCACTTCCTAGGAAGCGTTCTATTTGCCAGTCCTTTCTCAGATAACATTCTCAATCTTGACTGGCTTCCTGGGATTTAGAAGGAGTACTCATTCAAATGTGTCGCCCAAAGTCATTTTTGTCATTTGAAAAAAAAAAAACATATTGGACTCAAGACTGTTAAATGAATTTATTTTCCACTGAAATCCACTGGACTTTGAGCACGATTATCTTCTTCAATGGGAACCAAATCCAGCCATTTTAAGCTGGACCTTTCCCACATTTCTTAATGGCAGGCAGCCATTTTTGGCTTGTGGCTATCCTCATAATTCAGAAGCTGAGTTTGGTTTTCAATGGCTCAGAAGGTGACTGGTTCTCTGCACCTTCTTTAAAAAGTTGTACAACAACCAAACATCCAAAATTTGCAAGTGGTTTTTGAGAACACCTGAATGAACGTATCCAGCATGGGAACTTTTGAGAGTCAGGTCTGCCTTTGAGATGTTCAAGCAATATCAAAGATAAACTGCAGAGTTTAAAAAAAAAAAAAAAACAGAAGAAGGCAGTGGCAAATCTTGGATATGGCCATAGAGTCATTTTCTCCTTAGAGAGAAAAGTATATTGAGAAAATTTTCATTTCTTGTATTTGGCTTGGCTTCTTCAATTGATCATTGTCAACTTGAATCCTTTTTCCTTTAATTAAAGAGACTTTTATATTGCTTTTCAATAATGGCATTTGTAATCTCCATTCAGATACAATGAAATGGAACAAAGAATGGAAAAAGGATACCCCAGAAATATAGCCCAAGATTTTAAAGGGATTAAACCCAGAATTGATGCTACTTTGTATGACAATGGTAAGTAAAGGAGTCAGATGCTATCGTAGAGAAACAAGGTTTACCTAGAACTCAGGTTGACTTAACTTGTATTTATATTATCATCAGCATTATTAAATGCTTTCTTTCCAGTATAATAGAGTATACATAATGGGTTATACACTGCACTGGGCATTATAACTTTTAAACCTTCTGCATTTAGGAGGCCCTTCATTTTAGATAGTGGTTTTTGTAACACTCCTTTAACTATTTTGAATTTTTTTACTTCATCTTCATTTTTAAAAAATCACAAGAGACCTGTGGCACCATAAAGACTAGCAAATGTTAAGTGTACAAAGGCATCTATCATCTATTAATTCAGCAAATAAAAATAAATGAAGCCTGTAGCTATGTTCATGCATGGCTTTAAATCTAAATTTTGCTGAATCAGAGTTTATGATATAAAATACGAGCAGCAATGACCTAAGGACTAAATCACAATTGGTTGGATTCAAATGGCTGGTTGTCATGAGGCTTCATATTTTATATGATGAACCCAGACACTAATATCTGTAAATCATTATGTAGGACTTAATGAGCTTTTGTTGTACAAGCCCAATCAATCATTGATTCATAAACTATGCTTAAACAAAGTTTAGACCAGGGCTGTCAAACTCCTGGTCCGTTGGCCGGATACATCATGTGCTGGCCATGCCCATGCCTGGTTTAGCAAAGGGGAAAAAAGTCACGATACGTCACATGATGCTGCTGTGACAACGTGAGTTTGATATCCCCGGTTTAGACAATATGTAATCCAAGTCTCAAAAATAAACAAGATATACCTTTGCTTTTTATCCCCCTGTTGGACGTTATTGTTGGCTTAAAGTTACAGAATCTCATCCTATCTTAAGAACAAAGTCTGTTCTAATTAATATTATCATGAATGTTTTTACACATCTAATTCAAATCTTCTTTAAATTCACATTAGAAATCTGTAAAGAGGAACTTATCTTTAGGTCTGAAAAAAAAACAGATTTTTTTATTTATATTTCTTTCTTTTTTTTTTTCTCCTCCCCCAGGATATATCTATTTCTTCCGAGGAACAAAAGTGTTTCAGTTTGACCCTAAGAATGAAAGAATTGTTCGGCCCATTCGAAGAAGCAATGCTTGGCTGAATTGTTAAAGCATTTAATCAATGCTACTTATTGGTTACAACTAATTCTGATTTACAGGCATCACAGAATTTAACAAGCTTGACTGAGAATGCAGTAATAACCTGTGGTTTTGTTTTTCCTATAAATGTAAAGCAAGTTCAGCTGATTAACTACATTAAACTCTAATATGTAAATATAATATATTCTGATCAATGAATAAACTATTTTGTGAAATTTATGGTGATTGCTTCTTTTATTTAAACATATGCAAATATTACTACATTACAGAAGAATTACATTGCTGTACTCTGGAGTAACTAATTAAAGAAATTCATAAGATGCTGGCAAAATTAGCCAAAAACATGAAAAAGGGAAATAATATTTATCCACATTAACTTCTACGTATAAAATATTTCATTTACCATGAACTGATTTGAGAAGTCACCATTGAATATGTTAATTCACTTCACTGAATGTGAGGCAATATGAGAAATTTATATTTGCTGTTTGATGTATATTAGTCACAGATGTAAAAATTTCCAGCAACACGTTTTCATAGTACAGTCATCCAATGATGAAGTACATTTATGAATGAGGCTTTCAGTCATCCTGATTTTTCAGGATAAAAACATAGCTAAAATATTCTGCAGTATTACTACGTACTTTATACTATGGACTCCATAATAATATCCATTATATCGCTAATCTTTCCATATCACAATGTACCCTATAGAATTCAGTCTGTATATTTAGGCCTGTAGGTTGCTCTTACTGGAAGAAAGTGCCAATAATGTCCGTTTTTTGGAAAATTTTTAGGAAAAAAAAAAAAGAAATATTGGGAAGGTAAGAATTCTGGATTAGACAGGACTAATCCAGTCTTAGAGATGCAATTTTTTCAGGAGGCAACTGGATTTTCTTGTTTTTTCTTTAGTAAATCTCTACAGACTTTTGGAGATGCAACACAACTTTCTATGTAGAACACACATTTTTAGAAGAATGTAAACAGCTACCAGACAAAATTGCCATCAATTCAGTAATGATTTCTAGTGACTGTTTACCTATAATCTCAGAGTTTCCTTCATACTGTACAAAATCCGTTTTCCAATACTGATCAAATCCTCTTCATATTTTCTGAATGCTTTCTTGCCTTTGGGAAGCCCTTTCTGTTTTTCTACCTCATTCTCATTCTCCCTCATTGGGTGGGTGGGTGGGCATTTCAGAGCTTTATATTATGGTTATGTGGAGAAAAAGGATGTTATTGACCTTATTCATCCATCAGTTATGCAGCTTCCCAGAAAATTCACATTTCCTGCTTTTTCTGCTTTGAAAATGCCCCATGACCAGGGTTGCTTCACGTTGTCCTCTCTTTGTTTAAATCTAGTTCTCACACTAGTGAAAAAACATGGGACCAAATCTGACTATTGCAAAAACAAGGAACAGAAACAGATCTTCTCATCAAAAGTAGGGGGATAAGCCATCTGTCACACAGAACAGGAAGACAAGGAAATGCAAGAAGTTTGGAGTGAAAAACAAACAAACTGAGGGCAGTACTTGAGTTGCAACAGGGGCTGAAATTCTTTTGGTCATGGTTTCCTAACTTGCTGCAATAATTATTATTGGTTACTTACTTCTGGATGCCTGGGCTCATATTAACAATTTACAAATGAAGGATTCCATCAGCTTGAATATTCATTAGATCAAACTCTAACCCTATTTCTTGGAGGGAGGATTAGTGAGCCTTGAAGAGTGAGTAAGTGCATTAAAATTAGAAAATTGCCAGCTATGATAGAAGGAGAAGCCAAATGAGAGCCTAGCTTGGAGTCATTGCATAGTGGAAAGTGGAAAGCTTTATCTTCCTCAGGAGCCAGGAAGCCTTATCCGGTCATTCCCAGGAGAAGGTAAGTAGTCTGGTGAAATTTTTATAGCAAAAGTGATAGACATAAAGTTACTGACTTCAGCTATTCATGTGTGGCACTGACTGCTTGCATCTGGCAATTAATAGCTATAAGGCTAAAGTCAGGGATGGTATTCTACCGGTTCGGCCTGGTTCAGCCAAACTGGTAGCTTTGAGGATCTTCTTTGAGTGAACTGGTTCCCTCCGACTATCAGCTGCTGAGCCCACCCTCCTGCCCTCCCCGGCTCTCTACTGACCTTTATTTCCTGGTTTTGAAGTTGCGTTGTGTGACACAGTTGATTGCCGTGCACCAGCTGTTGAACACACAAGGAAAGTGCAGGATTTCAGGAGGTTAGTATCAACCCCCCTGCATGCGTGCAAAGCGTGTCCACCAAGTCTGTCCACCACAGACCGGTGGTAAAAAAAGTTGACTCCCACCACTGGCTAAAGTATCTTTTTGCTTCTGCATACCCTCACCACATTTCCAGAAATGGTAGAACATAACTAAAATTTTTAGACTTATCTTTTTGAGGAAGGTCTGCAGAATGAAAACTGTACGTTGGCTACAGCTTCCAAGACATTTTTGCATTCTTACTGTACAGTAGATTGTGCTTTAAAACCAAAATGGCTGTTTTTATGTCATATTCTTGGCAATAGTGTGGCACCATGCTTTCAATTATTTTGTCCTCAAAAGCTTTATGTATAAGCACTGGAAAACAAAAACTGGAAAGAAGACTTTCTTATTAGTCAGGCACACTTCTGCAAAAAAAAAAAAACTACCAACAAAAACCTTTTGCTTACTTTCATCTCCAGATATGTTTTCACAAGCAAGGAAATACAATTTTATTTAAATAGGGCTTGGCCCTAAACTAATTTTAAATATGTTATACTTGTATAGAAATTATTGTTTTATTGATTGACATTTTTCTCTTCTGGGTTTTTTTTTCACTCATCTAACTACTTTTTTGTTGTTCACACAACATGCTTTAACCACGACAGGTAAAGACTGAGCAGCTGCAATCATACAACACAATACATTTTGCTAATGATTATCTTGCTTCAGCTTTTTTAAGTCTTGGTATATGCCTGTGTTGGTGAATCTTTTTGGCACCAAAGCAGGAGTGCACATGCACGGGGAAGCTCTGAAAAATGGAAGAGCAGCCCCCTGGCGCATGCGTAGGAGTACCAGAAACCAGAAGAGCAACTCCCAGGAGTGCATGTGTGTGCCGGAACCCAGAAGAGAAACAGGTGACAGCTGGTATGCCCAGAGAGATGGCTCTGCATGCCACTTCCAGCACGCATACCAAAAGTTCACCATCATGGGTGTATGCTGTATAAATAAAAATGTTCTGTTAGTTATAATCCTGCAAGATGATAATCAACAGATATGGCAAGACATCCATGAGGGAGAGTCAAAAAATGGTCAAGAGGGTAGCTATGGAAATACACAGGAAGTTTTGCCCTTTTTTATATGTGTTGTTGTGTGCTTCTTCAAATGGGCCGAATACTCATTGCTCACTCCAGGAGTTCAATTTTGAACGGCTCAAGGTTGACTCAACCTTCCATCATTCTGAGGTCGGTAAAATAAGGTCCCAGGTTGTTGAGGGCAATATGCTGACTCTGCTTAGAGAGGGCTGCAAAACAGGGGTTAAATTCAACCACCTCACACCACCTTGGGAGAGGTGGTAGGGACGATTTGAATCGCTTGTCCCCGCACACGCCCGCCCATTTGGTTGTTTAGGAAGGGTCTACTTTGTTTTGCAGCAAATGCTATTTCCGCCCTCTGACATCTGTGCTCCTTGGTTTCTATGTTAAAAGAACTCTTCACAATGTTTCACTACCCTCAAAGTATCAAGATGTCCTTGGTTTGTCTCAGGATTTCTTGGAGCAAGCATCTTATGACTGACTTGCCACTCCTATTTCCAAAAAGAAAGGATACAGAACACAATTTAATTTCTTTTTTTTAATTTAAGTTTTTATTGGTTTTTAAAAACAAACATAAACAAACAAAACATAAAAACATCAAGCCATCTTCCATATGTATACATAAAGTGTGCCGGCTGGATTACAAATTGTTTTGTGCTTCCATTTTGTAGTCTTCAATTACAATTACATTGCATATAATCTCGTATTTTCAATCAAAAATTAAATACCTTAGTATCATTATTAATCAATCATTTGACTATACTTTTATTCATTCATGTTTTACAAGATAATCATAATTTACTTAGCTTGTTTTATAACAGTTCATATTATCATCCCAAATCTATCCTAAAATCATTTTGTAGATATAATAAGAAAGAAGTACATCTTTATATATTTATTATTTTCTAAAAGTCTACATATTTCATTGTTGTATTTTATTGTCTAACCATTGATAGAATAGATCCCAAATTTTATAAAATTGTTTATCCTCTTGTTCTCTAATTTCAAATGTCAATCTACTCATTTCAGCACATTCCAATATTTTCTTAATGATGTCCTCCTGTGATGGTGTTTTCTCATTTTTCCAGTTTTTGGCAAATACAATCCTAGCCGCTGTTAATACATTTACAATCAGATATTTCAAGTCTTTACTATATATTTCAGGTAAAATTCCCAATAAAAATATATCTGGTTTCAAGTCTATATGGTTTTTTTGACATTTTTTCCAACCATATGTGGATTTTAGTCCAGTATTTTTTAGCATCTGCACAAGTCCACCACATATGGTAATATGAGCCAGGTGTCTGATGACATTTCCAACATTTTTCGGATTTATTCTTGAACATTCTTGCTATTCTTGTCGGGGGAAAATGCCACCCATAAAACATCTTATACAAATGACAAACAAGAAGAATTCTACAAAAAATTACATATGAAAATAATTGAACTGGACCATGCTAATATAGTTATGATGGGAGATTTTAATGGAATTGTAGACAATAAATTGGACTCTACAGCACAGAAAACAATAAAGCAAAACAGACTCTCCCTAAATCTTTTTTTAAAATGGTAGATGAAATAAACTTAAAAGATACATGGAGAGAAAGAAATGCTAAAACTAAACAATACACCTTCTATTCAAATAGACACTCAACATGGTCCAGAATAGATATGATATGGATTTCAACAGAATTAATAACTAATATTCAAGAAATAAATATTGAAACAAGTACTTGGGCAGATCACTATCCAATGACAATTAAATGGAAAGGACAAAGAAGAAGATCTAGATGGACGTTAAATAATACTATTTTAAAGGAAAAAGACTTCACACAGTGGATGGAGAAAGAAATGCCTTTTTTCTTTAGAGAAAACAAAAAAG